CAGGATTTAAAATCTAACCTGTGTGATGAGAAGATCTCAACCGAGACTGACGAACACGTATGAAGCAACGGGACCGAGTCGTAACGGTTCCTTCAGTGGGACCAGGTTATAGACTGGAACCTTAAATGGGACCAGGTTATAGACTTGTACATTATTATTATTATTAGTAGTAGTAGTAGTAGTAGTATTATTGTTATCATTATTATTATTTTAATAATGGCGATAGGCTGGGTTGGTTTCTCAGAGTTTTAGGAAAAAATGCTCAAGAGATGAGAGAATAAATGTTATTGAACATTTAGGTTACAGCAGCCGGGTACAGATGAGGCCTGGAAGAGGCAGGACAAGAACTACTAAAGTACAATAAGACTAAAGTTAAGATCTAATGAAGACAGTTTACCGATGGGTGTGTCCAGGTGTAGCATGATGGATAATGTACCCAACATTACTGGTGCTGCAGCTCAAACAGAGAAAGAGCAGAGAACTTGGTGATTGGATTTTTTCCTGGTTCTACATTTGGCTTCAGTCTGCAGGTTGTTTCTGACTGAGGTCCCAGCAGCAGAAAACAAACGCCGTCTTTTTGTGTTTTGTGGAGGCAGTGTGCTGTGTGTGAATGCTGCCAGGCCTCTTTGGCCTCTTTGTGGTCGCCGTGTTTGCGGTATCCATCTATCAATCGGCCTTTGAGCGGCGGGCTGCCGTAATTGAATAGTGATTGACCCGAGGCAGCAGAGACCTGCAGCGGGACACAAAGACGTCACATCCATCACGGCGAGCAGCGGGACGCCGACTTCTCCGCCAGTATTGTCAGAGTGAAATCAGATCAATGAGGACGCCACGTGATCAGCAGGTGTCTGAGCGCCGCCAGCTTTTCTTCTTCTCTGCTGCTTTTTTGTGCAGCTGCTGGTCGTCAGGTGGCGAGCTGCAGGCGGCGCTCGGATTCCTAATGAGGAAGGATTTGTTGCTCCCACACAAGTATCAGCTGTAAACAAGTCGCCTAGTCGCAGGCCTGCTTTGGGCGCAAGATTCAGCTGTAGCCGAATCTGAATGATTATTTCCACTGTCGGCTATTTTCTGGATGTTTCAATCAGCTGTTTGGTCTCTAATATGACAGAAATGGTGAAACGTGTGGTTCAGCGCTTCCTCAAATGTCTTGTTTTGTCTAAAAATAATCAGTTTACTGTCAAAGGAGGAAAGAAACCAGAAAATCCTCGTTTAGGAGGCTGAAGTCTGAGAATTTAGACTGTTTAGATTAAAAAGTTTTGCAGCTCGACATCTGGATTCCAGTTAGTTTGATCAAAAGGAAGCTAAAATAAAGTCTATGAAGTAGATTTAAAATAAGAACTGTGGTCGAGTATTTCAGTTTTCATCCATATATAGAAACACTGATGTTGAAGACAGATGAATGAGCTGACCTGTGTTTTGGTGTGAAGTGTCACTGAGATGCAGCATCTGTGGATTCGTCACTGCAGTTTATTAAGAAACTCCCTCCATTCTGAGTAATCTCTCAGCAGGAACACATTTATGAACTAAACTCAACAAGAAGCAGCAACAAAGCAGCTGAGACGACACGAACAAAAAGCTCAGCTGGGATGGAAGTTTATGAACATTAACGTTACGTTAAGTTGGATGTCTTAAACTGTGCTGCTCCAGTTTTAACCGTTTGAACCCCAAAACCTGGCGGTGGGTTTAAATGGCCACGTTTTCTTCAAAAAATCTCTGAAATGACGCGTTTCATCAGTCAGATACCGTAAATATAAACTGTTCAAATAAAAAGAAAGAATGATCTGATTTTCAGCATTGTGACTGTCGTTGACGTAACCATGAGTAACATGATGTAATGGAAAAATGTACCAAATCAGACATTACAATACAGATGAAATGAAATATGTCATCAAAAGTACTTTATTCTTCAGGCCTCGTGGGTTAAACGTGGTTGGTTGTGTTTAAAGGGACACGGTTGTGCCCTGAGGAGAATGGTTGCACCTGAGAGGGTATGGCAGCGTTTAGAGGGGGTCAATGTCGTCTTCAGGGCAACACTGTGTCTGAAGGGGGACGGTTGCATCTAAAGGGGGGTAGTTGCATTTAAAGAGGGACGGTTGTGTTCAAAGTGGGACATATTAATCTAAAGTGGGATTGTTGCTTCTGAACGGGGAACTATTGTGTCTACTGATGACAGTGACATCCGAAGGGGTGCAGTTGCACCTGAAGGGAGTCGGAGGCATCTTAAGGGAAACGCTTGTGTCTGAAGGGGGATGGTTGTTTCTAAAGAGGGACGATTGCTTGTAAAGGGGGGAAGTTGCATTTAAAGGGGGACAGTTGCACCTGAAGGGGAATGAGTGAGTCTAAAGGGGGACAGTTGTGTTTAAAGTGGGACATATTAATCTAAAGTGGGATTGTTGCATCTAAAGGGGGGACGGTTGTATGTAAAGTAGGATAGTTGCATCTGAAGTGGCTCGACTGCTTCCAAAGGGCTACAGTTGCACCTGAAGGACATCGATGGCATATTAAAGGAGACATTTGTGTCCGACAGGGGATGGTTGTTTCTAAAGGGGGACAGTTCTGTCTGAAGGGGGACTGTTGCAACTAAAGGGGGGTAGTTGCATTTAAAGAGGGACAGTTGCATCTGAAGGGGGGGACGGTTGCACATGAAGGGCGTTGGTGGTGTCTTAAAGGAAACACCTGTTTCTAAAGAGGGACGGTTGTGTCTACAGGGGAACAGGTGCATCTAAAGGGGGGTTTTTACATCTAAAGGGGGATTGTTGCGTCTGAACGAGGGTTGGTTTTGTTCCTCCCAGCTTCAGACTGAGATTGTGTCCACACAGTAACTGAGCTGCAGTGAATTGTGACCTTCACGTTTAATCAGAGGTGATGTCATCATTCTGATCAGTGCGGCTTTATCAATAACTTCATCCCCCCCTCCTCCTCCCGTTTTTATTGGCTCCAGTCAAACGTCTAATTTATAAAATGGATCATTGAATCTAGTTTCCCACAAGAACAGGGAGGCGCAGACAGAGACCGTCCACTGGTGTCCGTCCACCTGTCCGTCCGTCCTCACAGCGTTTTAATGCAGTTTTACTGGGATCACGTCTGTTCATGCAGAAGATGAACGACGACTGCAGAGTTCATCAGATGAGAGGATTTGTGTTGAAAGTACAGAGTTATGTTTCTGTAGCTGATGACCTGCTCGTTATTTCTTTCAGGCTGCTGCCCGAACACAAACTCCTCCGCCGGACTGCACACGTCGACGACCAGAAACCTGTTGGTGACCACGATCCACATCAGTCCACATCTGGACCCAGAACAGACCTACATCAGTCCACATCTGGACCCAGAACAGATCCACATCAGTCCACATCCGGACCCAGAACAGACCTACATCAGTCCACATCCGGACCCAGAACAGACCAGGACCCTGCCGGTGAGCTGGACGCTGCAGACCAGGTGAAGCCTCTGCACATCGTGTGGCCTCACAGATGGTGAGTTACAGTTTCATCGTCAGACGTGTTCAGTCCACACAAACCCAATCAGCTGCAACATATCTGATATTTTATTTAATGACATCAAGTCTCAGAGTCACAGAATCAAAGTCTGAGTATTTGAGATGGAAGTCAGCATTTTATGGAAACGATCTAAAACTGGCATTTGATCAGAAAAATCTGAGCTGTTAATAATCGTTAAGAAAAAAATCATGTTTATAATCTTAATATGAAAAATGTCAATATTTAAAAAGAAAGAAAGAAAAATGTTGTTTGTGGTTCAGAGTTAGATTGTCTCTTTAAATCATCCTAAAACAGTCCTGAAATGAGCAGTAAAACCAGCTCAGACCTTGAAATCAGCAGTTTAAATAACCTTAAACTCAGGTTATACCATCCTAGCATCAGTTCAGATCATCTTCAGGATGTCAGGTGGTGACAGATTCAGGTGGAGAGTCTTGTCAGGGTGCAGTATAAGTTGCGATGCAGCGTGTGAGGTTGCGGTTTAAATTGCGGTGCAGCGCCTGGACCTCACCTTGTGTTGTATCAGTAACAAAGCAGCGCGCTGTAATCTGCTGCGAGCGGACAAACACAGATGGATTACGGCTGCAGCCGCGAGCTGCCGGCTGTGATTCTGAAATGAGGATTTCCACAGAGCCTTCTGTTAATCTCTGATTGAAGCTGCATCTCATCAGGTTTTGGGTTTAATCTGTGGGTGGCCTGGATCCTCAGATTACAGCCCGTCTTACTGCTGCTGCTGCTGCTGCTGCTGCTGCTGGGGGCTGAACAGATGTTCCAGGTGTAGCTGCTGCAGCACCGGAGCCGGCTGGTAAATCTGTGGAGCTTTATGTTGATCAGGATCAGCTTTTACCTCCAGAGGACTGAAGTCTGATTAGAAACAAACAAACAGCAGATTACACAGTTTAACATGACTGAGCTGCTGCTACCTGCTGCTGCCACCGCCGCCGCCGCCGCCGCCACCGCCACCGCCATGCTCCATCAGCCCACAGAGTCAACAAGTCACTGCTGCTGCC